GCAACAGCACAGCCCTCGGCACGGTACATCAAGATGGATACACTCAGCATTGCAACCTGGCACGTTCCCGTGGCGCATCCCGTGGCGCGTCTCGTGGCGAGTCCCGTGGCGCGTCCCGTGGCGCGTCCCGTGGCGCGTCCCGCTGCGAGTCCTCCTAGCACGTCGCTCGGCGAGTCCCCTGGCACGTCCCGTGGCACGTCCATTGGCACGTTCCGTAGCGCGTCCCCTTGGCACGTCCCGCGGTGCGTCCCCATGGCACGTCCCCTGGCACGTCGCCTGGCGCGTCCTTTGGGACGTTCCTTGGGACGTTCCGCGGTGCGTCCTCCTGGCATGTCCCCCTGTCAATTAGCTCTGTGGCAGTTACTATGTGCCCAGGCATCTCGAGCTTAAGATCCAGATCAGTTCGGTCAGGACTCGGATGCAAAGGAGGACTCGATCCACAACGCTATAGAGCACAATCGCGGCATGGCACATCGCAATTCAGCACGGCGCAGCACAGGACAGCCCTCGGTACGGTACATCAAAATCGATACATTCAGCTTTGCATTTGCCCGTCTTCCAATCAGGTGTCTTGGAAGCGTTGCCATGCCATACATTTCTATATTCCTTCCCGGGTTCGTGGGTCGATCATATTGATTATCGAATGGCCTTCGGCACATCCCGCCACCGTGCCTGGGCTGCAGGTCTGAGGCCACGCGGATGACAGACGGGGTCTCGTGGGAGGCGTCTCAGGGGTGTTTGGGAAGCAGTTTTTGAACCGCTTGGGAGCCTCCTGGAGGCCTCTTGGAAGCTTGTTTCGGGCCTCTCGGAGCTCCCTGGGAGCCTGCTGGGGGCTTCTTGGGGCAGCTGGGGGGCGGTTTGGGGTCGAAGGCTCGAGATGTTCGTTCGGGTTCCCCCACTGGGCTTCCTCTTGAAGATGTTCTGGAGCCCCCCTGGGCCGTCTTGGGGGCTTCTTGAGCGGCCTTGGAGCCCTCTTGGGTCGTCTGGGAGCCCCCCTTGGGGGCCTCTTGGGCAGTCTTGGGGCGATCCAGGAGGCTTCTTGGGCTGTCTTGGACGTTCTTGTGAACGTGCAAGAGGCGAATGTGCTAAAAATGCATGTTTTCCTATGGGAATGGAGCGATTCTTGCTCTTTGAGGCCGTCTTGGGACGCCTCCTGAGGGCTTCTTGGGGCGTCTGGGGGGTCTCTTGGGCCGTCTGGAGGCCAGCGTGGGCGTTTTGGATTGATCTTCGGCGGCTTGTGGCTCTCTTGGACCGTCCGAAGGGCTTCTTGGTACCCTCTTGGCCTGGTTTGGAGCTCTCTTTCCCCTTGTAATGCGTTCGGGCGGTCCCCAGTGGACCCCCCGAAATCGACTGCAGCGGATTTTGGCCTCTCTGGGCCCTCCTGGAGGACCTTTTGGAGGTCTTTTCGGCCGTCTTGGAGGCCTCTTGGAGGCCTCTGGGGCCGTATTGGTCCATTTTGGGTCGTCTTGGGTGAATTTTGGGCCGTCTTGAGTGCATCTTGCGGCCATCTTGGGCTTCCTTGGGGCCGTCTTGGCAGGCTTGGATGCGTCTTGGAGGCATCTTGGATGCCATCTCGGGTTGGAAAAGGGTTGGGTACGTCACGAGGTGATTGTTTCATGTTAGCGTTCTGGTCTCTCGAGCCAGCCTGCGTTCGTGGGCGAAAAGCATATCCGTATCCGCAGCCTCGCGGGCCGGGCCCTGGGTCGGGGGTGGATAGACCTCCTACCCTGACACGTCGATTGAGGAGTTTGCCGTTTTCGGTTCGCGAGAGGGCGTCGCAGCCGTCACTTTTGCGGGTCCAGGTCCGTCGGTTTCGGCCCCAGGCCGTCTTCATTAAGGGGAGGTTTACTAAAGGGAGGTTTGTCCACCGCCGAATATATGTCGGCTGTGATGTGATTTATCGCAATTTCCCCGCGTCGTATCCAGGCCACTTGCGAGTTGCGAGTAGTTATCTTGCGAGTAGTGGAACGCGACTGGCGTCCCTGTGGAGGACCGTATCAATGGGGCGTCTCCTCGCGGGAGGTTTGTCCACCGCCGACTGGGGTGCCGCTACCCCCCCGGCTACGGGGCGCTGTTCCGCGGACGCCGCGCGCGGAGCTTCCTCGCGCGACCGCGCTTTTCCGCGGGAGGGCGCCCCGGAGTCCCGACCGCGAGGGCGCGGATGCGGAACATTCAAAAATAGCACAAAAATTAGTCGGAGGACGATTTCTGGAGTAGTTTTGGCTATTTTTGAGAATGTTTTGCGTTTTTCTTGTTTTCCTCCGAAGTCCGCCTGTGGGGGGACATGCCCGACCTAGGGATATCGTGATACGTTGGGGTCACGCCTCGCGCCATGCCCATCGTCGCGCCCCCCCTCCCCGCCCCTGGCGCGCCGCCTGCAGCAGGCAGTTGCGGGGGGTACCACGCCTGTGTCCGGCTCGCTCTCGCCGCTCCTACCCAGCCCCCCGCTCCCGATACACCCCTCTTCTCCCTCCCCCGCCTCCCCCTCCTCCCGCACCTCCTCCCCCTCCCGCCCCTCGTCCCCCTCCTCCCCCGCACTCTCGTCGGAAGACGAAGAAGAAGAAGAAGAAGAAGAAGAAGACGTAACTGCAGAAACGCAAACTCTCGGACCTCCGAGGGTTTGTGCTTCTGCAGTCTGTCCGCCCTCTGCCCTCCTCCCCTGCTCACGCTCCCGCCCTGCCTCTCCCCACATCAGGGCTCGTTTCGATTCCTCCGATTCGATTCGATTCGACTTCGATGGCTTCCGATTCCGATTCGATTCGACTTGGGATTCCGATTTGGGTTCCGACTTCTTATTGGAGGCATACTAGCCTGCCAATTTCAGCCGATTCGACTTTTCCCGATTCGGCTGCCGATTTCCGCCGATCCGATTCATTTCGACTGCCGATCCGACTTGTCGATCCGATTCTGGGCTCTCCTGCCACATTCCAGGCCCCCGCGGGCATCGGAGGCCCTCCCTTCGGCCCCGCTCCTCGCCGCGAGCCACCCGGCCTTGCGTGAACCCAGGCATGCTCTTCTGATTCGCGTCGTATCATCGCAGGCCCAGAGGGTGACACCAACACCAATTTCGGCGGTGTGCCTCCACCGAGGGAAGAGGATCCCGATCTCGGTGACGGTGGTGATGTTCTGGCTTCCAGGGTGGCCGAAGTATTGCCACCGACACCGAGATCTAGGATCACCTTCCCCCTGTGGAGGCAACCCCCTGTGTTGGTGTTGGTGCCCATTTCCAGGCCTCCAGAATCAGGCACACGTGGAACCGAAAAGCCGAGGAAGGGTCCAGGCCTCACTCCTCGCAGGCCGTAACATGCCACCGCGCAAGCAGTCATCACGGCCAATGAACACCATGATCGGTCGGGTATTGCGGTGCTCGTTTCTGGATCGGTCGGTGCCTTTGCCTTGTCCCCCGTGCCTCTTCAGGTCCCCCTGTTGATGGTTCGTTTGTCCTCCTGGCTCGTCGTCGTCGTCGTCGTCGTCGTCGTCGTCGTCGTCGTCGTCGTCGTCGTCGCCGTTGCAATCCTCTACACTAGGAATCCTCTCGTAATGCGCTCAGTTGGTCACAGCGACTTGCGGCGGGAACCGTGAGTGTCCTTGCCCGCCCACGCGTCCTTCAGGATGCTTGGCCCTCTCGCTCGCTCGGTGACCCTCACTCACTCCTCCTGCTCCCTCCTCCCCTCCTCCCCCTCCTCCTCCTCCTCCTCCTCCTCCTCCTCCTCCCTCCTCCTCTCCTCCTGCTCCTCCTCCTCCCCCTCCTCCTCCTCCCCCTCCTCCCCCTCTCCCTCCTCCTCCCCTCCTCCCTCCTCTCCTCCTCTCCTCCCGCTCCTCCTCTCCTCCTCCTCCCCTCCTCCTCCTCCTCCTCTCCTCCTCTCCTCCCCTCCTCCCTCCTCCTCCTCCTCCTCCCCCTCCTCCTCCTCCTCGCCTCCCTATCCTGTCCTGCTCCTCCTCCTCCTCCTCCTCCTCCTCCTCCTCCTCCTCCTCCAGCGCTCCTTCCAGCAGGGGGGCCTCGTTCCCCGTGCCTCTGCAGGTCCCTCACCACCCACCAAGCCACCCCAAAACCCAACCCGAGGGCTGCAGTTTGCCAGCCTCAGGAGAAACGAACCGCCAGCAGGAGGAGGAGGAGGAGGAGGAGGAGGAGGAGGAGGAGGAGGAGGAGGAGGAGGACGATGAGGCGGAGGAAGAGGATGAGGAAGAGGAGGATCAGGATGAGCATGAGGATGATGATGATGAGGATGAGGATGAGGATGAGGATGATGATGATGATGATGATGATGATGATGATGATGATGATGATGCTGATGATGATGATGATGATGATGATGATCGATGATGATGATGATGATGATGATGAGATGATGATGATGATGATGATGATGATGGATGATGATGATGATGATGATGATCTGATGATGATGATGAATGATGATGGTGATGATGATGTTGAATGATGATGATGATGCTGATGATGGATGATGATGATGATGATGATGATGATGATGATGATGATGATGGTTGATGATGATGATGATGATGATGATGATGATGATGATGATGATGATGATGATGCTGATGCGGATGCTGATGAGGATGAGGATGAGGATGAGGATGAGGATGAGGATCAGGATGAGGATGAGGAGGAGGTGGAGGAGGAAGGGGATGATGAGGAGGAGGAGGAGGAGAGAGGGACTGACTACCTACCAAACCACCCCAGCCCAACCCGAGGGCTTCTCAGTCTGCCCTCCACTTCTGGTGGGGGTGGGGTTCGCGGAGCGCTGAGAAAATGCCTATGGAACCCGTACCCCCCCCCCAGCCCGAGATTCGGGCCTTGGGTTGGGTTGGGGTGGTCTGGTAGGTAGTCAGTCCCTCTCTCCTCCTCCTCCTCTTCCTCCTCCTCCTCGTCCTCATCCTCTTCCTCCTCCTCCTCATCCTGTTGACGGTTCGTTTCTCCTCCCGGCTCGTGGATCCCGGCTCTCGCCCTCCTCGCTCTCCCGACTGCACCCGTCGAGGTGACGATGATCCCCGCCCTGGCGATCCTCTTCCCGGGGCTGTTTGACAGGGGGAGGCGCCTTTGGCATCGCCCGCCGGCCGCGCGCAGCCCTGCCTTGCTCCAGATGGGGACGGGCGGGGGAAGAACGGTAATACTAGTAGGGAGAATACTAGTACGAATGTAAGCAGAGTGAGGCGACTGATGACAATAATCGTAAGAACACTCACTGAGAAGTAGAAGGATAAGACTAAACCTACCAGGAATGGAACTAAGAATAGGCAAACGAATCACAACCAAACTACGCATGATAATTTCACGAAATCATCTGAACAGTTTTGATACTAGTAGCCATGCTACGAATTACACGAATATTATTGTTCACAAGACGACTAATGCTAATAAGCGTAATACTACTATCAGTCATTCGAGCAATCATGAAAGTGTTAATGACCATAATGGTAATACGCATGAGCAGGTTTATTATAATGATAAGACGAAGCAGGGGGAGGAGGATGGAAGGAGGAGAAAGGTGGAGGAGGACACATGATGATGAGGAGGTGGAGGAGAAGTAGGAGGGAGAGTAATGGAAGGAGGAGGAGGAGGAGGAGGAGGAGGAGGAGAGGAGGAGGAGGAGGAGGAGGAGGAGGAGGAGGAGGAGGGAGGAGGAGGAGGAGGAGGAGGAGGAGGAGGAGGAGGAGGAGGAGGAGAGGAGGAGCGGAGGAGGAGGAAGAGGAGGCGGAGGAGGAGGAGGAGGAGGAGGGGGAGGAGGAGGAGGAGGAGGGGAGGAGGAGGAGGAGGAGGAGGAGGAGGAGGAGGAGGAGGAGGAGGAGGAGGAGGGCGCCCAGGCCTCCGAAGACTGACTCAAGCTTTTTTCGAGCCGCCGGCCCCCGCAGCTTTCTCTCTCAGCAGCCCCCTTCCCCTGGGGGTCGGCTTGTCGCCCCGAGCCCTCTTCGGGAGCCTTGAGACGAGGGTCACTGCAAACGGGGGTCAGCCAGAGCGCCAGATCTTTCAGGATCCTGCGAAGACCCCCTCTGGCTGACCCGGGTTAGCGAGCCGCTCGTGGCCGCGAGGCGGCCGCGCATATTGGCTGACCCGGGTTTGCGAAAACCTGCGTTGCAGTTTTTTTGTTCCTGCATTTCAGTTTGTTGGTTTCCTGCTGACTCGGGTTTGGATTGACCTGGGTCAGAAGATCCCCGACCTCTGTGGAGTGGAGTGAGCCAGAGGTGCCGAAAGCCGTCCGGGGAGCTTTCGTGATGGGCCTGTTTTCCACCACCACCACAAGTTGGAGGGGGGAAGGAGGAGGAGGAGGGGTGAGGAGGGGGAGGAGGAGGAGGAGGAGGAGGAGAGGAGGAGGAGGGAGGAGGAGGAGGAGGGAGGAGAGCCGGGAGGGAGGGAGGAGGGGGAGGAGGAGGAGGAGGAGGAGGAGGAGGAGGAGGAGGAGGAAAGGAGGAAATAAAAATAATGCTAATAATAATAGTAATAATAATAACGATACTATTAATACCAAAAAGAATATTTCTACAAATAATAAGAGCAATAATAGTAATAATACTAATGCGAACAATTATACTATTACTCATAATGATAACAACAATGCTACTAATCATACTACTAAGAGGAAGAAGAGGAGGAGGAGGAGGAGGAGGAGGAGGAGGAGGAGGAGGAGGAGAAGGAGGAGGACCCCCTCCCCCTCCTGCTTGTGGTGGTGGCGGTGGAAAACGGGCCCACCCTTTTGTTTCTGGAGCCGCAGGCGGTCTGGCCGTTTCCGCTGCGACGCCGGCGCCCGCACCTGCCGTGGAGTGCGATCTCCAGTCAGGGTTTCGCTGCGGATCCAGCCGTGGCGGCGAGGAGGCCCCAGGAGGCCCCAGAAGAGCCGAAGGCGTTCGAAATCTCGAAGGGGGAAACCGCTGCGTAAGCATACGCCGAGTCTCTTCAAAAGCGTCGGGGGGGCGTCACTCCCGCCGACGGCCCCACATCGACCCCCCGTCGCGGGCAGCCGCCGCGCTCCGAAGGCGCTCCGACCCCCGTGACGGCGCGACGACGAGGCGAGGTTGACCCCCGTCGGGGAGGTACGGTAGGTTTGCGTCGTGTCGACCAGCGGCGACCCCAGCGCGGGCGTTCAAGGTTGAACGCCGCGGGCGACCCAGAATCGGTCGATGTTGAACGATCGGACGTTGCGGCAGCGGCCGATCGTTCAAGGTTGAACGATCCAGCGCGGTGTCAGAAACCAACGCCGAAGTCGGCACGACACGGACCTGCCGTACCCCCCACGCTTATTCAGAAACCCAGAGTACACTTTCGGAGATCCGCCCGGATTTCCTGGATCGGCGCTGGGCCCCCCTGGCGGCTGCTCCCCTGGCGCCGCCCCTGGTGCGCTGCGCGCGTCAGGGAGGGAGGCACCAGCGCCGATCCAAGCAATCCGCGTGGAGCCCAGGGAGGTTATGTTTGTGCATTTGCTTCTTCCTCTAGAGGCGGACTTAGCGGTGGCGGCAAGGAGGCCCCAGGAGGCCCCAAGAGAGCCGAAGCCGTCCGAAATCCTCGATGCTCGATCCTCCATGCTCCTCCTCAGCTCCCCGACGTCATGCTTCCCTCAGAAGTTGGATCCCTGGGGATTCAGACCACTTCCCCAGAACGGGCATTTCATTGCATCGCATCGCCAGCGGCACGAGAGCTGTTTGCACTAGCACGGGGCGCCTTCACACCTCGTGGCAAGCATCTGGACGCCTGCTGCTGAAAGCTGTGGCCTAACATTAAGTCGGGTCTGTCCCCCTACAGGGGGATTTTGGACGAAAAATAGAAAATACCTCAAACAGACCACACGATGGTCAAACAATATGCAACAAAGAGTCCCCAGACTATGTTTGGATTATTTTTTGATTATCTTGGGGGTATTTTTCTTATTTTTCGTCGAAAACCTCCTGTAGGGAGGACAGGCCCGACCGAAGCCTAACATTTTTTGGCTTCTTCCCTCCTCTTCCTCCTCCTCCTCCTCATATTCCTCGTCTTTTCCACCTCCTTCACCTCCTCTCCCTCCTCCTCCTTCTCCTCCTCCTCCTCCTC